TTAATAACCCTAAAAACACAGGCTTTTTGACAATCTAAATAGCTTGTACACAAATATAAATACTTGTTTATAGTTATTTTGTGTTTTTGCAATAGTTATAGGGAAAATATTACATCAGCAATTATTTTATTACCCTTTAAATTGATTTTTGGAGATTATCCAAGGTGCATCATGACCTATAAATACTTGTTTATAGTTATTTTGTGTTTTTGCAGTAGTTATAGGGAAAATATTACATCAGCAATTATTTTATTACCCTTTAAATTGATTTTTGGAGATTATCCAAGGTGCATCATGACCCATAACTGGGTCCCAAGCCCAACTTTGGGAACCAAAGTGCAGTGGTTCCCAAACTTTTCAGCTTTTGACCCACAAATTAACAGAAGCAGAGACCTGTGCCCCCAACTATTTTTGGATGTTAAACATTTGTATCAGGTCAACTAAACATGGACATAGTAACAATATTTTTGTACTACATTTATCCATTTTAAATACACTAACCTCACTCCTTTGTAACAACTGAGGCAAAAAATGTAATTAATTCATAAAATCTTTCAGGACCCCACCTTGAAGTTTCGGGACCCCACTTTCGGTCCCGACCCCAACTCTGGGAAACACTGGTCTAACATAAAAGCTAATAATAAGGAAGTTTTRTTATTGAGATATGCCTGTTTTCATCATTAACTACGCAGCCCGTTATTTATTTCTTTAAAATTTTCTTCAGATTTAAACTAGCAGACACTAGCATTTCACCCTCTACTTTTATTTATTTTTCCTTATTTTTTATTTCCTTAAGAGCAGCTTAATTGTGAGCTATTACCCTGGAACAGCATCTACCAGAAAATTCTGGATGGACTGTTTACATCCTAAAGTAACAGCATGATGAATAGTTTTTATTGGAAATTTGAAATAATCCTCTTGCATTATTATTATGAGAAGACAAAGCCTGAACAAGTGTTTTATCACTGCAGCTATGAAAGGCTTGCTGTCATGTAATAGCCTGTGTGTGTCTGACTGCTAGCTAATCATGAGCTGCACATCCAGAAATGATTAGCTTTTGTAGTCACCYCGATGCAAGAAGGCCGTTAACCTATTGGACTTTAGCAAACACAAAAAACACAATTTTTACAGATTTTGAGCTAATAATTATTGTGACAGTAGCTGAGAGTCATTCTCAACATGCACACCGAGCACCAATAGATCAAACATTCAGAGGGTTTGTGAATATGACTGTAGTAGTCTGACTTTATACGCTATCACCTTCCAAACTTGTGTAAAAGTCAGGACAAGTGTGATATTTCCATGATAAAATTGGCAAGATCTTAAAACTGAAGGAGCCAAATGTTCTTTTCTTCTTGCTGTAACATGTTCAAGCCTTTTGTAGAAAACAAAGGCCTGCTAATGTCACTGCTGCTGGCTAAGTCTACAGTCTACAAGTGTTAAAATATACATACTTCAAGTTTCACTCCGCAAAGCTGAACTGAAAGAAATTATTAAATGATTCATCTAATCTGAACAACCTCTGATCTTGATTTAAACTAATAAAACAGTTATAACCTTGTTGCACGTTATGCCACACGTTCACAGTTGACTCCTGCACTTGCAGCCTGCAGCTCTGGTTCTTATAAAAGCTACAGAAATTTGGTTGGAGTTATTTTTGCTTAAACCAAACTGGTTCGACTAAAATCAGCTCAGTGCTGCACCTTTCAAACCTTTTGAAAGTTCACTGTTTAAATTTTTTTTTTCGTGGTGTGAGCATGTGTTTCAATCTCCAAAACTAGACAAGATGAATGATGTCCCTTAATGGCGTGGGGGTCGACCATCTGCCACTGGATTCACAATGCATCTCAGGGACTCGAACACGCTTTGTGACTGTGTGTTGGCTGTAATGAAGTTAAATCCTGCTCTTTCTCATAGCCTGTGGTTAGCATGAAACACCAGCAGGTTGCGTCTTTAAACGGTTCGATGATCAGCTGAAGATCACACGCTGTTCTACTGTCTACTTTTCCACTTTAAAGCAGACCCTCTGTCTCAGTTGGCTTGTCTCTGTCCTCCTTTCTCTGCTTGTTCTCACTCAGCCTGTCCTCTTTGTGAACAGCTGGTGAGGAAAAAATGAGGCAAATGAGCACTAAGACTTCTCACATGACTGTCCAGGCATACTCTGTGTATGCAGCTACACACAAGCACCTACCGATACTGTACATCTATATTTTAAAGCTTTCCCCCCCACTGTTTTTTTTTTTGAGTAATTCCAAATCAGGCAAAACAATGAGCCTTGATTGACCAAACCATCCTAAATCAGTACATACAAAGGTTTTGTTTTCTTTTCCAGACTTGACTAGACTCTGCGTTAGGGTGTAGCTGATAAATGTTTGAAACAATCTTGGTGGGCTTTACAGTCTGCTTGTGATGCATTATGGGATAGCGCTATCTCCTATTCCCATTTGACGGATCGCATATCAGTCCATTGGAAAATGGATGCTCACATTAGTAGGCTCACTGAGTACAAGTGCTTGTATGGTGGCTGTTACTTTTAGGCAACATTTATTTTTTATTTATTTAAAAAAATATTCATGTCATTTAAAAAACAAAACAAATGCAATACATACAACAAATAATAATACTAAAACACAAATAAAATGAAGGGTAGTAAAAAGAAGAAAAAATCTTATTAATATCTGCCACTTTTTAAAAAAATAAAAATAAAAAATTCCGTCCGTCCATCCGTTTTCTTCTGCTTATCCGGGGTTGGGTCGCGGGGGCAGCAGCCTAAGCAGAGAGACCCAGACTTCCCTCTCCCCAGCCACTTGGGCCAGCTCATCCGGGGGAATCCCATTGCGTTCCCAGGCCAGCCGAGAAACATAGCCCCTCCAGCGTGTCCTGGGTCTTCCTCTGGGCCTCCTCCCAGTGGGAYGTGCCCGGAACACCTCACCAGGGAGGTGTCCAGGAGGCATCCTAACCAGATGCCCGAGCCACTTCAACTGGCTCTTCTCGACGTGGAGGAGTAGCAGCTGTACTCTGAGTCCCTCCTGGATGACCGAGCTTCTCAC